CACTAAAGCAGCTTCTATAGCTAGATACTGTCGAATTGAACAGTTCCTACCGCCAAGCAAGACCATGTCCTCGAACTCTCCCATGGTAGTGACCTTTTTTGAACTGGGTGGGTCATGCTCCTGGTGAGGGTGGTCCGACTTTAACAAAAGCATCGAGAACAAGCCTGGTGGTCGAGGGTGGTCAGAGGAGGTCGTATTCTTGCGTGACCCCTCATAAGTGGTGGTAGGTGGTCCAGGAGGTCGTATCGAGACTCCTTAAAGGAGAGAAGCCATGAAAATGTTTGAAATCGTCCCAACCGTGGGGTTGACCCTATCCTCGAGAAGCAGGTATACAAACACCGTTTCTCGTGCCCAAGTGAGTCGAAGCTTCAGATTTCGTTGTCAATCAAAGCATGATGTTCAGTAGCATGGCTATTGAGTTGAATGAATGATGTCTTCTTGATAGCTGGCTCATCGATAGTCGAAAATTGAAAGGCCAACAAGCAGTCCCACTTTGAGTGTTTCTGAAGAATTCGCTGCCTTTTGTCGCTACTGAAGCACCAGTTCACACCCTCTTTCACCTCAGAACCAGTGTCAACCGTCACTTCGCACTTTCCTCAAAAATTTTCACCACCTCAGTCTTGAAAGGCTCCTCCTATACGATCACCACCTTTCATCGTGGCTGTTTCTATAGTATTTGATTCGGAGAACAGGCAACGCAGTGCCCAACTGGCCCGCTTTTTCCTCCAAAAGGCCGTAGAGCGGTGGGATGGGGAGGAAGGGAGGGAGTGGAGAAAACTGGTAATTGGTAATTGGTAAATTGCTGTCATGACTACAAATTAACCAATCCACCATTTTTGCCTAATTCTCACTTTCTTCCTCTCCCCAAACTCGTCAAAGAACCCTCCAAACACAGCCGCCAGCCCTTTAACGACCTCCGTCCGTTCTAACTGAAATAACCTTGCTCAGCTCCAAAATGCCACCCCTTCCCAAAATGCCACCTCCTCGTTCAAATAGTAGAACGGATAGTTGACCCTGCTCTAAACCCACGCGAAAACTGTGGTAATTGCTGCCATTAGTAGCGGACGACTTGTGACAGACTTGATCTTGCCTTATTCAAAGCATAGTAGAACACATGAACCTTTCCGTTTTGGAATGCGCCACGCATTCTGCTCCCATTCAGAATTGTGGTGGCTGTTTGGATGCGACTTGTCCTATACAATGACTTGAGCTAGCCGATGTGCAGGTCGTCCGCTGGTTCTATAATCTAATTATCCCTTCAGGACAAGGTCTTCAGTGCTCATTTTAATTTTGGTCCATGAGGAGTGCTGCTTGGCTGAAAACCGGCGGCAGACAAACCCCCAGGTTTGATCCCTGGCACCGCGCGTGGCAAGCCGCGCCATTAGCACCACACGACTTCCGCCCTATTCGCAGCATTGTTCAAACCTTACGAATCCCAAAAAAAACTGCAAACGAGTGTTGAGCGAAAAGCTACTATAAGCCTTCAATAGCTGCCGCTGTCTTGCGGTGATTGCATCGAATTTTCGAGAAATTCTCCCGTTTTCACTCTTCCTTCTGGCGCCTGTCCCGGTCCGTGATTCGTTTTGAAATCTGTCGACGTCTATGTTTATGCGTGTGTGTGTCTGTGGGTATACGAAGGCGACCCGCTAATTGGATTTCGATTATGAGAGAGATATTCAGCTGTCAGTGGGTAATTGCCTTTCGCCACCTCGTTGTCGGCACAAGGCTCGAAAAGATGCCGTCATCATTGCCAGTGTACTGATTCATTTCTGTCACTCTAAAATCGCAGGCCCGACTTCTATTGGGGTTTGTAAAGAGTCAGAGTGTGTTTGAATGCACCAGGATAATGAGAACTCTGAAGGAGTTGAGGCCGATGTCAGACTTTGCGAATAGCAAATCGAGCCATTCGCTGTACGCGACGCGACCGCAGACGCAAGCAATTCGCTAGTCGCAAATCCCTCCATTCGCAAAGTCCGACATCAGCCTCATAAGGATCTAGGGATATCGAATCCCATTCTATTGCACACTGAGATTTTGATGGTTGTCTGGTAAAATAGGCGGTATACGTCATGTGTGAGGTTTCATGCGACCAAATCCAATCCTTGTAAAAACCATTGGAAATAACCCATATGCCGTGGAGGCTCAGCTCCAGGCTCGTGGCCAAAATCGTTTCTAAGACAAGATGTTTGGTCATGAAGTCAATGTAACAGGAAAGGAACCGCTAATTAGGCCCGTTACTTAGCTTCACGGAAAAAGCTGTATCTCTTGCTGCTACCATGATGGATCCACCCATGAGTGAACCTGACAGAATAGGATTCGGCGCGATCGCAAGATACGGGGACAACTGCGTGAATATCTCCTTTTTGTTAAGAACGGGATAGAGCCCCAGGCAAGGGAGAGGAGATTTCAGAATTTGCGAGTAAATTTCAATTCTCCCCCAGGTTCTTGCCCGCTCTTAGGCTTATCAACCCTAAAGGGTATCCCCATATCATGCGATAGCGCCTAGCATTCTGTTCCCGTTGTGAGTTGTTGTGAGCTACGAGTCAACCCGTGGAATTATTGGGTACCTCCCAGGAGACCCATCGCGCGGCAAGAAGGCAAAGTCAGCGGACGAGTCGCGCGCGTACTATAGGGATTTCGCGTCAAGTTAAATAGAGTGTCCCACT